TCCGTCCCGAAGCGCTTACCAACAGCGCGAATACAGCACTTCCATCGAACGCGCGCGTCCGCTCCGAGTGTTAACAGGTATTTACGTGGCTCTTGCTGACACTCGTAGTTCAAACGTATCTTTTTTAACGTCTGCTCGCTCCTGCATCTCCGAGACCGCGAAAAACGCCGCGGCAATTTGTTTCCATCTACGTCGCTTTGCAAACGACTGACACTGGCCGCCTTTTGCCAACAATGACAGTTGGGTTGACTTCTGGAGTCTTCACCGGAAGACTCGCTGCACTTCCCAACAGGCATACCGGTGTATGGGACTAGTCCCATGCTGTCGCTGTAGCGCAACATATCTCGTTGAATTTCGCTCAGCTGCGATGCGGCGATGAGAGGCGCCGATTCAGAAAATACATCGGTGACATCGGCGCAGTAAAACCTACCGGCACACCCCAACTCGTCGCCGCTAATGCTCCCATCTCCTACTGCCGAGAGAAGTTCCGGTTCCGGAAACAGCGTACGTCACGCCTTGTTTTTGCGGTCAAGAAAAAGTCGATATTTCATTAATTTTTTGTGTAGAAGTTCATAAACCGAGACGAAAACGGATGCCTGTTCGGCATTCAGTGAACATTGACGGTTTAATGTAAAAGTTATCTGGAAAAAGTAAAAAAGTCATTTCATGGTCCCTTTAACTAACCGCGGTTAACCGGATAACCCTATGAGGGGGAATTTCGGGTCACGTGACCGGCAGAGTAAGGACGGCGGGGAAACATGGCGGTGCCCCGCTAAGTGAGCGCCGCTCGCTTTGGAACTAGTAATACGTTGTAGTAGCTGCGTTAGTCAGCAATGAATGGTGCAGGAGGTTTTCGCGTTGCCTTACCTCACTTAAAACGCGAAGCATGAGCAATGACCTCGCCGCATTTTTTAGATAGACTTTCGACTCTGGCCATTCCTAAGCCTAAATGAACGCGATAGCTGTCGGCATGGCAACGTCTTTGGAAAGTGGATTGCCTTGACTCAATCGGCCGGGTATTGATAGCACACAAAAGCAGAGAGCGTTGCCATCACTGATCTCTATGACAATTGCTGGATCGCGCTTCCCCGCTTGTTCGCTGCAGCGCAAGTGAAGCCACCGGGCTTCACTCGCTTGGGATACGATTTGCCGTTTTTGCTAGCCTTTGCTGCGGTTTTCCAGCGTGCTGACGACACGTTTTCTACTCGTTCGTCGTCATTCGCC